GCTAGGCTGCATATCAGAAATAAGATTGGTATCAGCCGATATGGCTAGTCAATAATTAGCCATCAGTATCAGCCCAAAAAATCTTTATCGGTGCACCCTTAGTAATGAACACTTCTACTAGTGGATGCACTTTCCACTAAGTAAATATTTGTTTTTTGTAAAGTAAACACAATATGATCAGTTCTGATAGGTCTGTCCTTTTCTTAATGCATAATTGCATAGTCCTGTCTTCGTGCAGTTTTCAGTCTCCACCAAGTGTATATTCTCTCCATTGTAATAAATATTAACCGCATTCTGTTAAGCCTTGTTAAAACTTTTCTATAAGACATTCAATGTAATCCACTGCAATTGGTCATATCTATTTTGTGCATCTGTAACAACTCTAGGTGTATCCAACTGCAAGCTTTTTAGATAGTAGTACCCCCACTACTGAACTATACTGAACTAAGTTTATGTTGCATAAACTTTGGTAGGGTACTGTAGTTTGCTTATAATTCTGTTTTAAGAAAAATGGGGTTTTTTTGTCCATGATTTAAGGAAAAGAAGTTACATCTGTGGCTCATGAGCATTGTTCAGATATGACTAGCCACAAGCATTTTACATTCCAATTTTTAGGTTTGTGTTTTAGTGATCACGTTAGGGTAGATTAGTTATTAGAGGAAGTGAGAAGCTTTTGACTTGAAATGAATAGTGTTGTCAGGAATTAACTGTGGCTGGCAACAGAAATTTTTTATTTTTCATTTAGTTCTTCCCTCACCACTTCAGTCTGTGGATAAACTTTCTTGAGGATGGCTCTTAAATGTAATTTATTTAATGGTTGTGTGGTTAATGCAGTTTAAATAAAAATGCTTTCCGTTTTCCAAACCAACAAAAAGGGGAAATTCCAAGTAAGTAGATGCTTACACATACTGGTTTGCCAAAGTTCACAATAACTAGAGATAATATACTTAATAGCAATTTCATGCAGTATGCTTAACTGTTCAGTTGGCTGAGAACTCCAGAGTTTGTCTTGAGACCAACCAATCTTTATTCAAGATACTTA